TCATATGGGGGGGTGAGGGTTTCAACATAGGAATACTGGGGGGTTGCAAACATTCAGCCCATGACAGCCAGGTTCTTGTTTAAGTGGTGTTTATGCCTTTTCTCCCCTCATTTACTCTCATAACTGCCCTGGAAGTGGTTATTTAGATTTTTATGACACAGGCAAGAAACCTTAGAGAGGCTACAACATTCCCAGAGGCCCTGCTGCGCCAGAGCTACCATAGGAACACTAGGCCAGGATTTTGTCTCCATTTTCCCACTGGAAATGCAGAAGGGCCCTCATGTGTTTCAGAACTCAGTAGGAATTCCTGGATTTGAGTCCCAAGTCTGTTACTTTAGCTGTGGAGCTTTTGAATTCTAGCATCTTCTAAATTAGATGAGGCAATATGTTTTTCCATTGGGATACAAAAGAGGATTGTTGGTGGTGGTTTTTTCCATTTAACAAATGAGTTCATGGAGCCCACACTGGGCTTGGCCATGATTTACACTCAGGTCTGTAGTGGATGGGCAAGGCCTGCCCCCTAAAGCCCACTTTCTAATGGGGGGAGATGCAAAAATAAACACGAGAACAAATGAGTAAGATAATTTCAGTAAGTAATGAATGCTATGAAGAAAACAGAAGAGGCATTTTCACTTGGGTGGTCTGGGAAGGTCAGAATGCCTGCAAAACAAGGCATTCATGCAGAGATCTGGGAAAGAATATTCTAGGCTCAGGGATGGGCAAGTGCACAGACTGTAGGAATGACATGACTGGCACATGGAGGGATTGCAAAAGGGCAGGATGCCTGGCGTGTTCTGAATAAAAAAGAGATCAGAGGAAGGAGGGAGGCAAGGAGATAGAGCTATTGCACCAGGTGCCAGAGAGAAGGAGAAATCATATCTCAGACTGTACGGAAAATGCAAAAAATATTGCGAGATGTACGTGTTGGACGTGAGGTGGGAGGAAGGTCTGAGGAAAATGGGGCAAAAAGCAGGAAGAGAGAGGACGACGTGGGTGTTCCCACATCTACATTGCCCACTCTCTGCGGAACATTGAAACATTCCATTTTAAAGTCTAACAAGACTTTTTTTTCCCCAAAGTATAATGAGATTGGGGGGAATATTCCATATGTTCAGTGTGGGCGAAATGGTGTTCAAATGAAACTCTCAACTGTTGCCTTCCTGGGTTTTGTGAAGCAAAATTTATATGCTTAGCAATAATGGTGGCCTTTTTCTCTCTCTGGGTTTTGTGAAGCAAAATTTATATGCTTAGCAATAATGGTGGCCTTTTTCTCTCTCTCCCATTCCCTCAGTTTTCCTTTCTCTTTCTTTCTTTCTCTCTCTCTCTCTCTCTCTCTCTCTCTCTCTCTCTCTCTCTCCCCCTCCCTTTCCTCTCTCTCTCTCTCTCTCTCTCTCTCTCTCTCTCTCTCTCTTTGGGAACTGTGGGGACAGAATATTCCAACCCAGTCAGCAGCTGTATATCATCTTTCACACAGTTGTTCTTGAGGCCAAATCCCCCTCCAAATTATTTACGACGCCCATTGAAGCCCGCGGGACTCAGGCGCCATCTAGGAGGTCAGCCATGGGCCTCTTTGTTGGACACAGGTCATTGGGAGAGACTCTGGCGGTGACTGCTGTGTGAACCTCCGCTGCTGGAGAAATGGTTATGTAACTTTAAACAGTAATGACATTTCGCAGAAAAGTGCTTTTTAATTGCTATGTCTTCATTATTCTCTTTCAAATTTGCCCAGGAGGTTCTGCCTCAGAGACAGCTCACGTGTCCTGAGTTTCCATTTTTAAAGAGCAGCCAGTTTTGTGTTTCAGCTGCTCCCCGAAACCCCCACCCCCAAACTTTATCTGTGTTCAGTGCATTAAGTGGGGTAGGTAATATGGCCTTTTGTATCCTTGCCAAACGGAGAAATGATTTGACGCAGTTTTCTAAAAATGCTCTCCCCAAATTCCGTTTGGGCTGGGACCAAGAATAGAATATTTTATCCCCTACAAAAGGGAAAAAGAAAATGATGAGCAAGCTAGAAAAATAGGACTGTGAGTATAGTGTATAGAGTTCCTTTAAGCAACAGAAAGTTAACCCCAATCCATAGACTCAGAAGCCTATAGGGGATTGGGATCAGCTAAAAATAAATTTTGCTTTGGAAGTGAAAATTGCGAGACAGATAAAATGGCTCAAGAATGCATACTCAGAAAGAATTGTAGACGTGGCTTAGAAGGGACTTTTCTGCTTGGTTTGATTTGTTTGGCCCACCTTTTGGTGTTCCTATTGTATCCCTGTACAGTAAGTTCTTCAGAGCAATCACTCAAACTCACATGGACCCCTTGCTCATTGGTGTGGACCTCACCTAGGCTTGCTGAGGCCAGTGCCCAAGCTGTGCAGCCCTATCTGCTAGCACGCCTTCCAGACAGGATCCACCTTCCTGAATAGCCTCCCACCATTTCCGGCTCAACAGGCATAGACTTCTAAACCCTACTTCTTACTTCTTGTGAAATCTCTCCAAATATCTAAAGACTGCCTTTTGAGCATGATCTATTTCATTTTTTCAATTTATCTTTATTGATGTCTTCTTTTTTCCCCTATGGACCCCCTCCCCCCAACACACACACCCTCCAGGCCTTAACCCCACTATTGTCTGTGTCCATGGGCTATGCATATTTGCATATAAATTATCAGGTTAATCTCTCCCCACCAAGCCCCCCAACCCCGCCTTCCCTTTGAGATTCATCAGTCTGTTCCATGTCTCTGTGTCGCTGGATCTATTTTGTTCATCAGTTTATTTTCTTCATTAGATTCCACAGCACTGTCTATTTCTGATTAAATACCGGCAGCTATTCATTTATTCTGTAGGTTCGGCTGAAACTTTAAAAGACTTTAATCAGAGGAGGAACATTATCACCATCATCATCAAAAATAGGAGCCATTAACATTTACTGTTTGTTTGCTATGTGCCAGGAACTGGTCTAGACATTTTGCAGGAATTCTTTCACTTAGTCCTCCGACAACCTTCTGATGTAGGTACTCAAAATATTCCCATTTTATAGAGAAGGGAGTGGAGGTGGAATAACTTGCTTGAGAGGACGCAGGCAGGAAGAGGAGGAACCTGACTCCAGCGGTGCTCAGCTTTTACCGACCTTATTATGGTTTCCCACCATATGGCATGCTCCAGGCACAAGCTTCCTTCCCACAATGCCCCTCTCAGATAGTCTTTTTGAGATGTCATCTGAAGACAAGTCGAAATGATGGAGCTTTGTTTTTTTAAAAAATAATTTGAAGGTGAGAGAGGGGAAGATAAAAATCTAGAAACACGACTGGGAAGTAGAGAGTGAGAGAAATGCTGAGCTTGTTCAACACATCACTGGCGAGCAGGGTAGGGGGTGTCCCTGAAGCATGAGTGATAAAACTTTAATCTGAATGACAGCTCTCTTTTACACGGTGGGTAGTAAAACCATGAGGCTCGTGTACATTGGTGGCTGGAACTGTTAGCAGCTCCAAATGAGGTGGAGGGGAAGGTCCCCGGTGAAAGTACGTTAAGGAACGAATTTAGCCCCAAGTTGTCCTTCCGTCTGGGCACCATGGGCAATAGCCGACTATGCTGACGTTTCAAGGGTAAAGGAGTAGTGCTCATGCCCAGATCAACCCCTCTCCATCACTGGCTCTGAGGAATAAGGCTGATTAGCAAGTATAGAGAAAAGATCATGAGCTGTGGTCAAGAATGCTATTCCTATAACCAACCATGGGTCAGTCACGTTCCCTTAGTGGGCCCTGGCTTCTTTATTTTTAGATCAAAAAAGAGAAAACTAATTCTCTCTGATATCATTCTCCACTGATATATATTTTTATTCTTTAAAGAATAGTTTATTGATTTTTAGAGAGGAAGGGAGAGGGAGACAGATACATCAATGTGAGAGCACAACATTGATCGGATGGGCTGCCTCCTGCACGCCGCACCTCCCCCCCCAACCCCCCCCCCCGCCCTGACTGGGGATTGAGCCCACAAAAGCATGTGCCCTGACCTGGAATCTAACTGGCAACCTCCTGGTGCATGGGACGGTGCCCAACCAACTGACCCACACTGGCCACGGCTACTATTTTATTTTTTATGATACAGTGGTCTTATGAAATTATATCTCTCTTCAGATATCAGTCTTACTTTGAAATTTACCAAAGTATCCCCTTTATCTGCAGAATGAAGTTCAAATTCCTTAGCATATAATTAAGCTTTCTGCACTCTGGCCTCTGCTCTTCTCTAATACCTGTTCTCCTACTGCAGGCACCCACCCAGCCAAACTCGTTTCATTCACATTCTGTCTTTGTTCTTGCGGTTCCTCTCCTCAGAATGTGCTTCCTGTTCTCTGTACAGGATGGTCTCTGATTCACTTTTCAACCAGCCCAGTACCATCTCCTCTAGAAAGGTTCCTCTGCTCTCTGGACAGGGCTATTTGCAGCCCTCGGCTGCCCGATGCCTCACCTGGCCCTCCCTGTTTCAGGCCTATAAAGCTGTGTGAGGATGATGTGTGTCTATGTCTTTCCCTGCTGATTATACTGTAAACTCCCCAGAGACTAGCATTGTGTCTTCTATATCTCCATAGACCTAGTGCCGAGCTCAGGACTTGTGCTTCATAAATAGGGTTCATAAATATTTGAAGAAAGGAAAAGGAAAGAAATGAAGGAAATAAGAAAAAAACAACAACACACAACAGTAATCTTCTGCTTTCAATAAGGGTTTTCTCCTCCCCAAATGGAAAAGGTTTATACCAGATCTCAGTCCTAATAGAATGAAATCGAGCCTGCATTTCAGAGATGGCCAAGGTCATGACCTGAGAAGTTTAAGTAGAAGCAATGCAACCAGGGGCCTGTCTGGATCATCGAGGCGGGCTCCGAGATATTTTGGTTACGACACACCGGGAGACAGCTAGCAGCTTCAGATTCCTCCCGTCACCTTTCGAAGCTGTTAATGAAACACCTTTTCCAACCTTTCCGTTTCCCCGTCTCTTGCTCCTCTCAAACAGGCCTGCAGATCATCTTCCCTCCGTACCTGCAAGAGAAGTTTGTCCAGTCGGCCCTGAGCTACATCATGTGCAACGGCGAGGGCGAGTACGTGTGCCAGAACAGTCAGTGCCGATGCCAGTGTGCCGAGGAGTTCCCACAGTGCAACTGCCCCATCACCGACATCCAGATCATGGAGCACATGCTGGCCAACATGGCCAAGTCCTGGGCCGAGGCTTACAAGGACCTGGAGAATTCAGGTAGAGAGCTGGCTTAGTTCTGCTGCACGAATGGCCCTGAGCCAAACCTAGAAAAGGCGGGTGTCTAACTGGGGTGAGGGCTGCTGTGAGGGAATACTCACTGAGCATCTCCCCTTCACTTTGGAGAGTCCAGGGCAGGGTCTCGTAGCTGTCAGGGGGTAGGCACTCAATAAATCTCCACGGGATGGAATAATGAACAGTGCAATCAGGTTTGTGGGCCTGTGATGGATTGTCTCTGTTGTACCCAGAAGACAGAAAGAGAGATGCCCCATAGCACATAGGATGCCTCTGCAGGATGGAGAGTTCAAAGTATTTGTACAAATTCCTAGAGTCTATGAGTCTATCTAAATTAAGAAACACACATATATGTGTATGTATGTCTGTGTCTATGTACATCTCTATGTAGATATTGCTATAGATATCCAAATAATTGACCAACTGTCAAAGCTGGAAGTCACTGCTCAGGTAACGTCGCCATTACCTGCTTCCCATGGTTCAGGGGAAGAAAGTCAGTCACCGAAGGCCACAGTGGGGCTGAGGTGCAAAGTTGGATCTCGGTCCTCATGCAGCATCTGCTTAATGGGAAAGCCAGGCATGAATCATATCACCGTGCCAGTCATTGACATTTTAACCACATCTGTGTGGAGAATGAGAAGCTACTGTGAGCAAAGAGTGTAGAGCTGGAGGTTGGCGTGGTCAGGAGTCAGGGAGGCCACTGGGGGAGAGCAGGGTCCACGTGTCTGACTGGGGCCAGAGGTCAGAGGGTGAGCACCCAGCCAATGGGAGGCCACCTCAGGCACCTAGGAGATGTGCCTATGATGTGGGCTGGCACCATGGCAAAGGGAGTAACAGTGGGAAATGTGCAGAGAGGCTGAGCTATTTAAAGGGAGAATTTGCAGGACTTGAGAAAGGAAGGGCGAGAGGAGATCCCCAGAACTCCTCTTGGGCATATTTGTCAGGCACTTTGATGGATGTCAGTGCCGTTCGCTGAGCGAGAACACCCTGCAAGGTTTGGAAAGAAAACTGTATTCTGTTTTGGACATGAAAGCTGGGGAATCCTCGAGACTTCCACGAAGGGATGCCAAATAATGGCCTATAATTTGTGCTCAGATATCTGTTAAGTAAATGGACATATAGAGAGAGCATTACTGTTTTTAAAACAACTTTATGTTCCTTAAATCTATTACGGGAACTGCATTAGAGTAAGTAATGGTGTTCCTATATTGTAGAGCAGGGAGGGTGCCAAGACCCAGTGTCTTCCCCAGGGTTACATAGCAAATGGCAGAGTCGGTAATGGAATCCCTGGTTCCAGACCCAGTGCTCACAGCAGCTCTTGTACCTTATTAATTCCACTTTCCCCCCAGTCCTCCGTTCCCTCATCTAATAAATGAGAGGACATGTTTATGTGTTTAATTTTTGAATTTATTTAAATATGTAGCCAAGAAACCCTTTGATCAAACAGAATCATACCTCGGAGCCACTGTGTACCGCAGATAAAAGCCAAGCTCCGTGGAGCTGTGTTTGGAAACCACTGGTTACCATGAACTCTGTCCCCAGCCAGCCCTGAGCGCTCAGGACGCATCAGTGACTCTGCTCTTAGAAGGTCACGCAGCTCCGGGAGCTGTGGGTGCCTTAGGAACCTGCACCCATTAGTCCATTTAAAATCCTGGGAACGCATCAAAGGGAGGGGTTCGAGATGGAAATGGATTGTGATGGCTATTTGGCCTCAAACAAAAGAAGCAATTGATTAAATGCTTTTGCAAAGAGATTCTCCCCATTGCTAAAAAGCAGAGGGGAACGGCAGCCATGTGCATGAGCAGAAGGGTCTTTAGCGTAGAATCTTTACACCCAAGGAAAAGAAACTACTTGGAGTGGACGGGTGGGTAAGGGAACAAGAGAGCTGAGATGCTGCAGAGTAAGCTGGATGGTCCACGGGAGTTACTGGCGCCATGCTTCCCCCCATAGGAGCACATATTCACTCTAGATACCATGTACTTAGCCATTTGAAAGGTTTTTCCCCATTGAGACAGATCCATCCACCCATCCACCCATCCATGTCCATGTGGCTTATGCATGTGTCTCTTCCTCCTCATTATGAGCTTGTAACCTTAATGACCCAGCACCAGGTAATTCCAAGGATTCACAACCAGCCAAAGGTAAAAGCCACTGATGCCTTGATGGCCCTGGAGTGTTGGTGGTCAAACAGGACCGACTTCACACACACAGATGGGGGTCTGTGTGTCCTCACTGGGGGGAACCTTCCACTTTAGTCAAGAAAGTACATCATCTTAACTTTTAAGTTACTTTTTCTTATCTGACCCAAATTCGGGTTCATTGAAAGGACCGTTACCTCCCTCGAGGTCAGCAGAGCCGTCTGTAGGATGAGCTGCATCTATACTATAGATTCTATAGGATAAGCTGCGTGTCTTCCATGGGAGGAGCACCGGGCTGGCGAGAGCAGCAGAGTGGAGCCCAGTGCCCTGCCTGCAGCCTGTGCACCGATTACATCAATCTGTGCAGCCCCGTTTTATCCTTTCCATGTCCCACAACCATCCGTGGAGCACCTTCTGGATTTGGGGAACTATTTAGGCAGATACGGTTCCATGTCACCCTCTCAACATTTGAATTAGATGCTGTTATACCTGCTTGACAGATGGAGACACTGAAGCGTTGAGAGAATAATGGTCACACAGCTGTGGGTGGGCGAGATGCAGTTTGCAGGCATGCATGTCTGGCTGTCCTGGAGTCAGAGATGGGTTTCCTGTACGCATGTTTTTAGCACCTTTCATTTCATTGTTTCTCCCATGATCCTCTTTTTGTATAGAGAGTAAGTGTTATATGGTAACTCAGAGCATCAGATTCAGAGCCAGTCTAGAGCTGTAATTCTGTCATTACTGGCTGTGTGACGTTGGCAAGTTAATGAACTTCTCTGTGCCCCAGTTTCTATGAGACGGCGCACTGACAGTACCCACCTCACAGGTTTGCTATAAAATCACTTATATGTGTTAGGTGTTTAAGACTGAGCCTGATGCTTAAAGAGAGCTATGTAAGCATTTTTTAAAATAAAATGAATGCCTATTATACCTGAAATTTTCTTGTAGGTTTTGTAACAAAGTGAAAATATTAGGCTTAGGATATATATATATATATATATATATATATATATATAATCACTTTACCTTTTTATCTGCCAAAAATTTAACCTCTTAATTCTTTATTTTTTCCAATAGTTGAGGGGGGCATCGCCGAGGCGGGCCAGTAAGAATTAGATGGGAAAACAGCAGCTCTGGTTTTAGTCCTGCCTGGGGCACTCACGGGTTGTTCTACCTCCAGAAAGTCCTTCCCTCACTTTGCACTTCAGTGTCCCTATATGTAGAACGAGAGAGCTGACCCAGATACTTTCAAGTTGTCAAGTTGTAGCGCTTGCTGACACCGGGAAACTTAGCATCACGCAGACAAAGACCTTCCCCGGGGAGGCTCTGGAGTTTGTTCCCATCTCTTAAGCTGGAGTTCCCCCAAATGGGACTTGACATAAGATGGCAGGCACACACGACTTCCCGTTAGACTAGGCCCCACAGTGGGGAGGCTGATCCATTCAGCCCTCCGTCACACCTGAAGATCACATCAGAGAGGTTTCCGTGGGTGCAAATGTGCTTTTAACACCTATCGACCATTTGCTACTTCTCTGTATTTCAGAGTGAGAGCAGGTACAGGGGTTTGGCCATGTAGCAGGGAACAGTATCTGGCTAGGATTAACATTGCTTCCGCCATACTTATGTTTACAGCTCCCATCCTACTGGACGCATGTGGTTTTCTATGTAGAATTAGACAAAAATTGGGTGTAATCGGTTCTGAGTAAATATAAACACGGGATATGCGGGTTTTGCTATCCAGTTGGCACTCAGAGGACACAAGTTTGTCGTCAGCAGGAGGCAGGGTCACTCCCGGAGCAGCAAAGCCAAAGAGCCTTCGTGTTGACACGTGGCCTCTGCACCCCTCCCTGGGAGCGGAGCAGGCGAGCGCCCTGTTCCCTGGGCCTCCAGCCAGGCAGTGTTCCTTGCAGGCCGCCTCCTTGGTGAGCGACCTCAGCTGGGGCTTGCAGGCTCAGCCTTCTCTCCTGGCCTTTGTCTCCCGCCAGATGAGTTTAAATCGTTTATGAAGCGTCTGCCCAGCAACCACTTCCTGACCATCGGGAGCATCCATCAGCACTGGGGCAACGACTGGGACCTGCAGAACCGCTACAAGCTCCTGCAGAGCTCCATGGAGGCCCAGCGGCAGAAGATCCAGCGCACCGCCCGCAAGCTCTTTGGCCTCAGCGTCCGCTGCCGCCACAATCCCAACCACCATCTGCCTAGAGAGAGGTGAGTGCTGCCTCCGCCTACCGCCTCCGCAGGCCCGGGCCTGGTGTGAGCTTGCGTTTGCTTGCTTCAGGGGCAAATGCAATGCAGGCGATGCCTTTGGAGGTGGCAAGCGAGGCCTTGTGGGGTCCAGATTATCCCTGGCTTCTCCGCTACGGTTCCGGCTGCCCTGAAACAATGGGTGTCTCACTGTGGCCTGAATATGCCCTGAACTTCCAACCTCTGTGTTCTGTCTGGTCCGTATTAGCTTGCTAGGGCTGCTGTGGCAAAGTACCGCAGACGGAGTGGTCTAACAACATTGATTTCTCACAGGTGTGGGGGCTAGGAGTGTGGGCTGGGGATGTGGGCAGGGTTGCTTTCTCCAGAGCCCTCTCTTCTGCTTGTCCATGGCCATCTTTCCCTCTGTGTCTGTGTCCTAATCGCTTCTTTTTTTTAAGGACACCAGTCCTATTGGGTCAGGGCTTACCTCAGTGGCCTCATTTTAATTTAATTCCATCTTTAAAGACCCTGTCTCTAAATAGAGTTGTATTCTGAGGTGCTTGGGGTGAGGACTGGAGCATGTGTATTGTGGGGGATGTCATTCGGCATAAACACCATCTGGCTTTTGATAAGATCTTTGGGTGAAGCACTGTGCACGTCAGGACCGACCAGGCCAGATCCAAATCGTGTGGGAAAGGGTAACAGTTGCCAGGCTGAGAATAGAACTGGCTTCAGTTTTGCTGGTTGTCACCTTAGAGAACGAAGTGGAGGGTCCAGAGGCCCTCAGGCACCAGAAAGACGTTTGCTAAAAGTGAGAAGAATGTGCAGGCACAGGGCACGCAGGGTGTGGCAGGTGTAGGGAAGGCCTGGGGCAGCTCCAGGGCAGTAGCTAGACAGGCATTAGGAGGGAGGGAGGAGGGGCAGGACTGGGTGATAGAAAGAGCCCTGGAAATCACCCGGGGGTTGAGATGAGAGCAAGTCCACCACTCACAGCTCCGTGACCTGGAGCAAGTCCTTCACTTCCCTGAGCACAGACGCCCACACCTGAGAATACTTTGCTCTTCCTGTGCAAGCCGTCAGGGGTAGACAGCCAGAGATGTCCTCCTGCTCTAGGGCCTTCCAAGAACACCTCGAAGTGTTGCCTTCTCTGCTCCTGAGATGAGAAAGTGCGTGGTAATCATACCTAGCATCCCTCCTCCACTCGCCCGACTCCCACCTGGGCAGGTCAGTCCATTACATCCAATAGCATCTCCCCTCCACTCACAGGAGAGGAGGGACTCCCACCTGGGCAGGTCAGTCCATTACATCCAATAGCATCTCCCCTCCACTCACAGGAGAGGAGGGACTCCCACCTGCGTAGGTCAGTCCATTACATCCAATAGCATCCCCCCTCCACTCACCCAGAGAGGAGGGACTTCCACCTGCGCAGGTCACTTAGCTGCACTCACTTAAGGGCTGTTGAGTGCTAGTCCTGGGAGGTGAGAGGCACAGGAACGCAGCCTGTGCTGGTCCCTCGAGGCTGACCTGCTCGCTGCTGTGGGCTGCTTCCTGACATCCGAGTTGAAGGCCTTAATGAGTGCTTCTCACACCAGCAGGTAGGACAGCTCCCTGCCACGGAGCACTGGCAGACAGGGGTGCTAACCCTGGGGACTTAGGGCCACCTGCGCCGAGGGAGTGGAATTTGGAAGCGAACTGATTGCTGGGCTGCACTGTGTGCCGGGCTCCGTGGGAGACGAGGCCACCAAGCGGAGGCTGCCACTACCACGTGTGTCCCAGGGATTTGAACTGGGGTCCCAGGGGGTGGCGTTGTGGAGGCTGGGTCAGTTCCTGACTCCATCATCTCTCAGCCCGGAGGCTTCGTGTGCCTCCCGCACCTCATTTGCAGTGTGGCATAATGGCGCTTGCCTTCAGGTTCAGTGTGAGGATTAAGGTTTTAAAATGTAGAAAGCCTAGTACAGTGCCTGACTCAGTTAAAAGAAAATGGAAGAGCTGCTAAGAGGGTGGGGGTTGGAGAGAGAGGGAAAGAAAGAGCGAGAGAGTTGTTACTCCGTATTCTAAATGCCAGGCACTGTTCTACGCATCTTATCTGAATTAACTAATTTTCTCCTCACTGCAACCCTGAACTAGGTAGTCTTACTATCTTAGTATTCTTATTTTATAGATAAGGGAACTGAGGCACAGAGAGTTAAATAGTGTGCCTAAGATCCACAAATAGTAATTATTATTCCTTGAAGGAGGTGTTTTACCTGTAAACTTAAGTGAGAAGTCAAATACAGATAATTAAAACTCTGTTTCAAGGTGTGCTGGGACCTGTGAATTGGGCTGGAAGACAGAGCAGGTGTTCTGCTTATCCGTTGATACTAAGCAGTTCTTTCTCCCTAAGACTTAATGGCTCAAACAACGCTTTATCATCTTGCATGGTCCTGTAGGTGGACTGGACACAAGTCAGGGGTAGGGGTGTGTGTGGGGGGGGGTCCTGTCAAGTTGGTTGGTGCTGGAGTCATCTGGGGGCTTGACTGAACTTGACATCCAAGATGGCTCACTCCCAGAGCGGGCAGTTGATCTGGCTGTTACCTGGGAGCTCAGGTGGGACTGCCAGTGAGTACCTACACCTGCTCTCTATGTAGCCTGGAGTTCTTACAGCATGGCAGCATCCTGAGACTAAAAGGAAGCTGTACGACTCCTTACCACTTAGCTTTGGAAGTCAGAGAGCATCACTTCTGCCATGTTCTGTTGGCCAAAAGCCAAGCCCAGGATCCAGGGTGTGAATACTGGGAGGTGTGGGTCACCGGGGGCAGAGGGAGTCTTCTTTGGAGTTATGTACTGCAGGATAAATTGAGTGTAACTGGAGCTAGAGATGCCTATCCTATAGGTAGGACAAATAAGATTAATGATGGTAATGATAACAAACACAAAGCAATAACAATTGCTATTGAGTAGCTAGTGTAACAGGCAACAGATCTGGCAAATTGTAAAGATTCGGGAGCCAGACATCCTGGGTTCAAATCCCAGCATTGCCACCTGCTTATATTGGAGCCTTGGTGAATTTACTAGCATCTTTGCGCCTCAATTTTCTCATCTGTAAAATGGGACTAATAATAGTGCCATCCTCATAAGGGTGTTTTGGAGGTTAAATGCTGTAACCCACATGAAGTGCTTACAAGATTGTCTGGCAGGTGGAAAACAATACATGTCAGCTACTTTTCTTATTGCTATTTTTTTAATCAGGCATTGATATTTTGCATATGGATTGTTTAGCCCACCTTAATGCGCATTAATTCTGAGTGATGACGATGATGGCATAATTTTTTATCCAGTCCTCACACTATCTCGGTGAAGTTCATGCTATTGGATTTGTTTCATAGATGAGGGAACCGATGAGTCAGAGATGGAATTAACTTGTCCCCGGTCACAGGGCAGGGGAATGGCAGGATTGGAATTGTCTCGCTGACTCCATTGGTGGGCGTGGTGGGCCAGAGCCCTGTGCAGGCTTTACGCGGTGTGCAGCAGCAAGCAGAGAGAGGCAGCTGTGCTTGGTTGGGTTCCCTGGTTTGAGTGTATGTTGATGCCAAAGGCAGGGTTAGTTCATCAAGGTCATGGGAGGGGGAGCAGGATTAGAGTTTTATAGTCTCCCGTGTGGTGTGCTGAGATTCCATTGCTAAGCCCTGAACCCGTTCTGAAGTCCATGCAGACACATCAGGCACATGCCCCATAGTTAGAGAGAAGAGGCCGGGGTCAGTGCAGGTCAACGCAGCAAGCGTCTCCTTTGAGCTTACTCTGGGTTGGGCTCTGCAAGCACTAAGATAAGTCAGACTCATCTACCCCAGGGCTCAGTGCTTATTGGGATGTGGGCAGCAAGGCTCTAGACCAGACCTGCCAATGGGGTGTCCAACACCCAACCAAATGTTTATTGGTTGCCCATGATGCACAAGGATTTGGGGGGACCCTAGGGGCACTGTGACAGATTTAGCCTTTGCAGGAGCTGGCCCTAGTGTCAGACCGTGGCACCGTGGTTGGACAGGTCAAGGGGAGGCAGGACCCACAAGGGAGGTTTCTGAGGATGGTTTGCTACCAGGAGATCCTTACATTGTACAGTTAAAATGTGGGAAAGATTGGGAAGTAGACTTTGACTTTTATTGACACTGAGACTTCCCGAACCTTGGTTTTCTCATCTGTAAAATGCGCATAATAATTGTTCTCTGCTGCCTTGGAGGGTCTGTGTCTGTCTCACCTGGGATGGTGTGCTGGGAAGTAAGTACTTTGTAAACTCTGAGTGCTCTGGGAAGAGGGGCTATGCAAGCGGGGTGAACTGGAAACCAAATTCGTCAGGAAGAGACTGAGGCTGACTTTAGGTCCAAGGCAACATTGAATAGCGGACACTTCTACAGCATTGACCATGGACCAGGCGCTGCTCTGTGTGCTTTCACCTCATTAATCAGGTAGCTCTCGCACACCCCATCTTATGAATGGGAAGTTAAGGAACAGAGATGTTCAGTGACTTCTTGAAAGTTGTACAGCAAGTAAGAGGCAGCTTCCTTTCCTGTCACTTCTGCGCTGTTCTACCGTCGGAGGCAAGATGATCCAGGTGATGGGTGACCTGCCCAGAATAAGCACTGTCTTATGGTGGAAATCACCTCTCATTGCAAAGGAGGAAGGAGGGAGGGAAGGAGAGAGAGAGAGAGAGAGAGAGAGAGAGAGAGAGAGAGAGAGAGAGAGAGAAGGAAGTTAGGGAGAGAAGAAAAAAGCCCCAGTCAGCATGGGCGATGCTGAATTAGCTGACTTCTGTGCATTCCTTAAATATCTACTGACCACCTGGTCTCCCAGTCCTGCCAAGAGGCATTTACAGACACTAGCAACAGGGCCTTTGTCCTCCAAACCTCAGTCTCTAGGCTCAGGGCATGCTGGAGAGGACACTGGTGTAACCAGGGGTCTGAGTTCAGGTCCCGGCTCTGCCCTGCATGGGCCAGACTCAATCCTCGGGGGCCTGGGGCAGGTGCTCCGGGAACTCTGGCCGAAATAGCTGC